TTTTAAAAAAGTAAATCAGAGCTAAAAAAGTGCAAAAATGCAGGCAAATTTGCCTGCATTGCTCTACATATTAAGAGATAGACTACTTCAAATACAGAAAAGAATGAACAACTAAGGATACTTCAATATGTTGATAGCAGAAATCTTTATGAGTTTTAAGAAACATTTTTCAAAATCTTCCTTAGAAAACTAAATTAAAGTTGCTTAAAGATAATTTATCCAATTAAGTTTAATTTACAGAGCGAAAAATATTCATGCAGCTTTTTGCAGTGGTAATATTTTGTATAGATGAAGGTATTCAGGAAATCTATGATCTTATATCTCAAACCTAGGAATGTTTAAAAATATTATAATGATTCAAAAAGAGGGTATTTAGTGAGTCTTGCCTTATGTTGCTTCAAAAATCTGTTAAAACAAAAGGTTACATCAGCTGCTAATAATTTGGCTTCAGAGATATTATGTCAGAAATGTTAACTGGACAAAGACCTTTTGTTGGTTATCAATTGGATGATATACTTGCAATAAAGATTTGTTTTGGATTACAGCTTAAAATTGTTCCTAGAACTCCAGATTGATATATTGAATTAGCTAAACAATATATAGATTCTAATCCACAAAAATGTCCTGATGCCAAAGATGGTTGTCATACAATAGATAAAATAGCTAGTTTAGAGAATAATTAAATAAAAAAGCAATTCGTAGATGCTGATAAAGTTATTAAATCATTGCTGATACTACAACATCCTGATGGAAAGTATACTAGAAAAATTATTAATACAAACTTAATTTCAAAGCCAATTAAAGATTATTACTAGTTGTTTCTACTTTAACAATCATACTTGTCCAGAAGATATTAATTGGTTCTAAGAATATTATGATCTGAAAGTATATTTATTTGGCATATAGACTAGAATAATGAAGAGACAAAAGTCTATATGAGCTGTAATTTTGTCAGAATTTAACGAAACTGAGCAAAGTTATATGAATTGAATAAGTGCTATTGTACTTGAATTAATTATAACCTAGAAGAAATAAAAAAATAAGTTAATATTTATTAAGATAAATTAAATTAAAACAAAAACATATATAATTAAAATAATAATATATATATTACTAAAGTATATAATTTAAGATTTTTCTTTTGAAAGTTCTAGTTTATAAAACTATTATAATAAATAGTTTCAAAGATTTGAATTTTTAATCGATTGATAATAAGACTTTAATTCTGAAAGAATTTTAAAAGAGGGAGTAGTATATAAAGATTATTTTTTGATGTAATATTGAGTTATTAACAAGATTTAAGAATTTGACTTAATAGTCAAATAGAAGTTTAATTTTTAGATATAAATAATGAACAAGATCTAGAAGTTAAAGAAGAAGTACTTTGAGAGTAAAATTAGTAGCAGACGAATATATGTACTAGCAAGACAAAGAAAGAAATTTATTAAAAATTTTTTTTTTACTATCACCAACCTAATCTAACAACATTCCAAAACTACTACCAATATTTCTATCACCTTCTTCTGAATCTTCTTGACTACTTTCTGATTCTCCTTCTAACAAAGCTTTATAAAGCTTTCAAGATTATTCTTCTTCTTTATCCCATACTTCCATAGTGTCTTCAAATTCTTTCACTTCTTCAGTTTTTTCTTCTTCTTCCTCTTCTTCACCAAATTTCTCTAAATCATATTTAATTCTTATTTGCTGTTGATTCTTATTAGTCTCTGCTCTAATATCTATTATCCCTAATAACTTTTGCATATCTCTTCTTAATACATTATACTATTTCAACTGACTCTTTCGCTACACTCAACTCCCTATATCTTCTATCTGCCACCTTTAATGTACCTTCTATCAAAATTTCATTTAAACTTCTATCTGCTCTTTCTTTCTTTAACTTTTCTCATAAAATTTTATTTTCTCCTTCTAATTTTCTAATATACTCTTCTATACTATATTACAAATTTAATTTTAATTTAACAATTTAATATATCTATTGGTTAAAAATTTACTATTACCAGTTCTTGGATCCATCATTAACCTCCTCAACAACTTTTCTTTGTTTTTTCTTATCTTTCTTCTTACTATTAATGAAAATTTTATTAGTTATTATAATTATTAATTCAATTTAAGTATAAGTCTCACTTTTGTTACTTAGAATATCTGTTTGAATTTTTTTTCTGTGTACAAGGCATATTGTTACTAATTTTTTTTGAAAAAGATTTTTTTTTAAGTTTTAGATCAAAAATTCCTTTATGACAATAATCGAACAATTAAATTAAAGTTTAAGTCACAAGAAAAAAAAATTTATGATTGGATAATCAAGATACACAAATAATCTTCTTAAGGAGTCAATTTTCAAAATTTGGTAATCATTCTGATGTGAATTACTGGTTAGGATATCACTCTAATAGCAGAGTAACCCGGGTTTGAAACCAGTTGAGAGAAGCTATTCTTCCTAGAGTACTGATCTCACATAGGATACATGATGGCCCTTCAAAGGAATGAATGATATATCAGAATGAGAATTTTTTTTTGGTTTGTTTTGTTTTGTTTATTGGTTATTATAATTGATTTATACAGTATATTATAGTTAAAAATTAAGTAAGTATTTATGCCTGGTATGCATAAAATAGGTCTGGGCAAATGTTATGGGCAAAGAAGGATCATCAAATTGGTGCAGTAATCTCATGACTAAACCAGATATAATATTAGAATTCTGGATCCACAGTTATATGATGCTTGCCTGCCAAAGAATATAAAGGATAGCCTACATGAAATCTGAAGAAGAATTCTGAAAAGAAGAAACTAAGATCAAGAAAGGAGATCTGGAAAATAGGCTAAAGAAAGAATTCATTGGGAGAAATTATTGTTATAATTATTATAAGCCCCTTGAAGTATAATAGCTTCGCCCTGATTTTTTAATGATGTATCCTATAAATCTTCCCTAAGCGCCTTGAGTTCATTAGAACAGAATAAGCTATAAAAGCACTAAGAGTTCGCGTTAGTAAAAGGATATCCTTCGGGATTCCAATAATTCATTCCTAACCCTTTAATAAATTACCCGGATAATTCCTTTTAATAAATTACATTATTGTCAAATCACCAACGTCACGCCTCTGGCGAGTTTATCACTTAAATTATATCATTTTTGTATATAAATTAATAAAACTATACGATTCACCCCGTAAAAGTATGAGACCGAAAACGTGACCTGACTGCAGGCACGTGACCGGGTGACTCGATAAATCCTAATTTGGGTTTCCCGCCCAGATATGTCAGAACCGCTAGATCTGGAAGATTAGGATAATTTGGGTGAAATGACGGATCTTAATAATACTGGCTATAAGGCCGATAAGGGGTTTATTAGTAATATTGGTAATATAGATGATTCTTGTAATGTAAATAGTTGAGTTCATAATTATAAATAAAGACCCTCTGGGCGTATGGAAATGAGAAGTAGTTTCCGTTTTATTTGAATAATAAAGTACCTAAGTCATATAAACGTACCCTACCAACTACATAGATTCTTTTATTAACCAATCGTCCAAATCTAACACGCCTCTTTCGATTCTTGCCTACCGAACCCTGCTGGTTGGTTACCCGATTGAGAAGATTGACCGACCGATTCTCGTCCCACAACGGTATGGGTGTAAAATATCCCTATTTTTAATCTCTATTCCGGTGTTATGTATTATTAGGGTTAGCATTAGGAAATTAGTATAATATGATTTTTAAAGAGGTATTTTACATTCTATACTATATACACCTTAAAATTTCTTGTTTGTTTAATATAGTTACGCTGAATTTGGCTATATACTCGATAATTAGTTATCTGAATTCAAAACTATATATAACTTTTCTGTATTGAAGTTGTTCAACATTTTCTAAATTAATCCTATATTCATCCGTTCCTGGTTTAACATGACAATATAGCGCAGCCGCTTATTTACAATTTCTGTAATTGGTTTTTTAAAAACTAAATATACAAGCCGGGTCAAGCAAATAAACACCTTCAGCAGTGAAAAAAATTCAGATTAAAATTATGTGCGCTTTGCGCACTAAATTTTAAATTGATGTGTGCTCTGCGTACTAAGTTTTAAAATTAACATGTGCTTAACACAATAAGTCTTAAAATTAACGTGTATAAAACTCTAATATTGATAATATCGTTACGGTTGGCTAATTAATTAAAATTTATGCATATAGATATCTAATTATCATATATCAGTTTGGAAATATGTTCTTATATCTCATATTATTTTTGGTTCTAATTTACCTCTTTTTAAAAGTTAACTTATACTATTGGTGCTGGTAAATATTAAATATGGCGCACATTACCTGATATTTTTATTAATTTAATAATAAATTTAATGTGCGGTGATGCGCACATTCGAAATTTTTTCGTTCACAAAAATAAAATTAACGTGCGGAATGAACATAGCGCGCGTCAATTTTTTTCACTGATCTTCAGGATGCTAATGGCTTATTTACCTATTTATAATTACTGTAATAGGCTTTTTAAAACTAAATATACGTACAAACCAATAAACATCTTCAGCATTAAATATAAATAAAAAGCCTCAATAATAATTTATCGATTGTCAAATATATAAAATTATAGGGATATTTTATTATTTCTATTAATTTTCAGTAATAATCTTTAGCGAGAGCGCTAGGGTTCAGGGTTTCATTATTATCGGAAATTTTCAGCAATCTGTTTTTTTTTTCTTTAGCGGAAACACTAAGGTTTCGTCATTTTGAATTTGGGTTTCGTCTTTCGTCAGTGGAATTTGAGGTTTTGTCATTTTGGGAATTTTGGGGCTTAGGTTTCGTCTTTCGTCAGTGGAATTTGAGGTTTTGTCAATTTGGGAATTTTGGGGCTTAGATTTCGTCTTTGTTATCAAGCAAAAAGCTTTCGTTTAACAACTATAATACAATATAATATATATATATATATAATCGTCTTTGTGCCAAAAGATGAGATTTACATTTGAATAATGGCAGGTTTTAAAATACGATTACTTTTAACTGTCGGCATTTTTTTATCCATTGTGAATGCGGATAGAACAGTATTTGTAGATCCAAATGACCCCTGGCAAGTATTTGAAGGATGGGGAACGAGTTTATGCTGGTGGGCAAATGCGTTAGGTGGATTTCCGGATATTAAAAACCAAGCTGCAGATCTAGTGTTTGACCTTAATAAGGTACTTTCTTGTTTTGCAATTTATAACTTTTCCATTCTTTTAAAAAAAAATATTCTAGGCATGATGAAAAAAATGTTCAGATTATGTTCTAGTCATTATAGCAAATTTTTGATTTGTTAGTTTATGATTGCTAGCCCGTATCTTGACCATTTTTTATTTATAACAAAAGATGTGATACCTAAAATTTTTCCTAGAGGTCCAATCCGGATAAATCCGTCATCCATTTATCCGTTTCTGAATTATCCGTATAATTCGGATCGGATAAACAGACTCGATATCCAGATAATCCGACCGATATGTACTATTTATTCTCCGGGACGGTGGGAATAATGAAATATTTCCCCGGCACGGCGGAATATATGAGTTATTCCCCGTCTCATTATGATCGCATGACAGGAATTTACATTTTATTAATCACAATTTTTATTGCAAATTTTTGTCTTTTTTTTTCTTATTTGTTATTTCCCCGCGGGGTGATAACAAATAAAGCCCGGGGTGATAATAAATAAGAAAAAAAATATAAAAATTTGTGATAAAATTGTGATTAACAGCACGTAAATCCCCGTCATGCGATCATATTGAGACGGGGAATAATGGATAATTATTCGGATATCAATAGTAAACAGATATCCGCTATCCGTTATCCGAGTATCCGGACCAAACTTTATTCGGATATCCGATAATTATTCGGATAAACGCCATCCGGATTGGATCTCTATTAAAAAGTATGTATGGATCAGGGCCTATAATTTCAAATCGAGACCCCAAATTCCCAAATTGACAAAACCTCAAATTCCACTGACGAAAGACGAAACCTAAGCC